CACTTAAAATTTACATCTCTGTAATAAATGTATTTTTCAATTAGTGAGATCCGATGCTCCATTCCTAGGAGACTCTTCGTGTGACTGCTTCTTTTTAAGACCTTTTTTCTTCAGTTGTCTCTTTTCGACTGATTAATTTACGTGTATATTTGATCGTGATTTACGATTTCTGTAACACAAATTTTGCTATGTACATATTATATAAGTTAACTGTTTATTGGAAATCTAAAGTTGAAGGGCTGTTCTTTCATTAGTTAATGGTAAAAGGTCTAGAGTATTGTAATTTTGTAAATATTGTCGATTTTATGAGCCATATAAGATAAGTAGAATATTGATGGTTTTGGAGGTCGATTTTAAGGTAAAAGGTAAATTGTAAACTTGCCGCAAGTAGCACAAAAAATGTTAACTTTTTATTATCTATCTATAATGTTTGTTGCGGCTGGTTTATAACTAATAAAGTGACTTTACTGTAAGTAACGATAGTTATTTGGATCAGCGCCATCTAGCGGTCTTCATTTTTTGGCCAAAAGTGTCTCCTAAAATTCTAAATCAGAGCATTCAGGATTAGAGCAATTTAGTCAATTATAAACCAGCCGCAACTCATTGAACAGATATAAAATAAAAATTCAACATTTTTTGTGCTACTTGCGGCAAGTTTACAATTTATCTTTTATCTTAAAATCGACCTCCAAAACCATCAATATTCTACTTATCTTATATATGGCTCATAAAATCGACAATATTTACAAAATTTTAATACTCTAATTTTATAAATAGATAATAAAAAGTTGACGTGGTTTGTGCTGTTTGCGGCAAGTTTGCAATTTATCTTTTACACAAAAATTAATCTTCTATCTGTTTATACTTTTGGAGGTATAACATTTTCGGGTAAAAGATAAATTGTAAGCTTGCCGCAAACAGCAAAAACAACGTTAAATGTTTATTTAACACATATATCTTATCTTACGTACTAAGTACTAAATAACTCAGAAGCAGATCAGATGTAGCTGGTGCAGGGGCCAGGGGACCCAGGGGTTCGCGTAAAAATGTTGACTCCCTTCTTCCCACAAGTTGTGCCTCACTCTCTGTCTCTCTCGCTTACACACTTTTCCTTTTGTTTGTTGCATCGTCATTGGCTAAGAATCAAAAGTTCAGCCAATCACAAATCGTCGGCACTCTTCGAAAAAAATCAAAAAGAATTTGTAGGTAGCAAAAGCGCTTAAAAATATTCAAGTTCTGTAAAAATCATTTTATTGGATAACAATTATATTGTTTTATAAGATTTGTTATTATACATAATTTTACATTTTTACACAAATAAACATTTTATAACAGGTAAACTCTCTTATTAAATGTCTGAAAAAATTGTATTTCAATAGGTACAATACACTTTTCACGCAATATTTACGAACTTTTTAACGTTTTGAATAGATGGTTATTTAATCCATACAATAAAACAAGGTGGCAAAAATGAAGGCATGCACTGCTGAATACTGTACTTGGATAAGTGTTCCAACACAATTCAATGAGACCTATGATGACCAATTTCGTAGCTGTTCTATAATTACAGCACCATGTTATGTAAGGTAATGTATGATAATACCATATGTAAAATTGATAATGTAGTGATCGGCTGAAAGTCAAGCCAATAAAATTTGCCATAAACAATGGTAAGACAAACAGTTGAGAAGCTGTTGACATATCTACGTTGGTTTTCTTGTCGAATTGAGAAGAAATATCCTTCTGAACAGTTTTTAACTTTTTGTAAGAATTTAAATACTTGAACCATTGAGGTGCAAAGTAGATTAATGCCAACACATGCAGTGCTAATAATCCAAAATGGAAGTAAGAATTCACAAATAGTTCTTCTGTTAGGAATCTCCAGTTGACTGTCCATTTAAATTCGAATATCCGAGCTAGATTAAATGCACCTTTGATGTAAGCTATGGGATTGTTCAACAAAAATGGTAGTCCAAGTAATAGTTGTAAAAAAGCACAAACAAACAATTGAGCGATGGTTTTCAACAATCCTAAGTTAGTTATGTAGGCAATCAGCAGTGCTGGTGCAAAGAGTAAAATGTTCATTTTGACAGACACAGCCAAACTGTACAGAATACTTCCAGTGTACCATTTTTGTTCCAAAAATGCAATGATACTTGCATACAAAAAAATCATTGCAATTGGATCATTGAAAAGTCTCAAGACAAATATCGAATGTATCCTGTACGAAGTAGAAAACACTAAAATTAAAATGTACGGAGGCACCTTCTTTGTACGTTGATAAATCTTAAAAACAAGAACAAGAAGTACAACGTGAAACAGGGCAAAAATGTACTGTGCAAGTTTGATGTTGACTCCATGAGAAGTAATATAATAGAGGGCAGTAAAAATATAAACAAAGCCTGCCGGATAGACAAGTGGTCCAGTGTCACCTCTAAGCTTTGAATAATCAAACGTTCCATTCAGAACACCCTCCACTTCTTGCATGTAAGCTTTCCAGTCGATTTCCGTGTAAGGCCTCTTCTCAATTATGACTATGTTGATGATTGCATCAAAAATAATGAACAGCAGTGCAGGTAAAAATAACTTTTTTGGATCTGTGGCCAGTGCTACAAGATCTTTGTATTTATCTTCACTTTTCATCCAACTTTTTAAATACCTGTAGCAGTTTTTGATGTAGTTGTTGTTGTTGAGGTTTCTCTTATTGTCCCGGCGGGGTGCCATCGCTGCTACTAATGATTTATCAGTACCAGCTCAGTAATTACTTTTTTAATTACTTGTTACATACGAAATAATGTACCTATATCATGCATATGATGATGGGTAAAAAAAAAATAAAAACGAAATTGGAGTTGAAGCAGACGACACATGATGAAAATATACATGTGGCAGTCGGGGGGGGGGCAACGACACACACACGCGCGCGCTACAACTGTTGGTGCGCGTATGAGAGAAGTTTAAACTTTTTTTTATAATGTTTCAATCTAAAATTACAGAATTAACACTAAACTATATACGGATAAGTTGAAAATTTTAAATAATAAAGTTCTACTTTTACGGTATTAGTATTACAGTATTATTTTATTACTCGATCAGCAAATGAAACAAAGAAAGAAACTTGAACGTGAGCACTTTTTCTCAGCCAATCAGAGAAAAGTCAATGATGTCTCTCCAATGATTTTTCCTTGAGAATCACTATGTCAAAGTATAGGATACCAACGTATACAGCAAACAGCAAGACTTGTTCTTTTCGTATAAGAGCAAAAGGCAACAACAAAAACTAATGTGATTTTTGTTACAGCTTGAAATTCATACATTAAGTAGTCGCAATGTAATGCCAATCATCAGTTTTTGAAGTGTATTATTATTTAAAGGATCAAGTAAATAGCCACTGTGTTTCATGAGCGGGAGATGATGCCAACCAGCTCTCGGCTACTACAGTCTCCAGCTTGTAATGACGGTATAATTGCATTAGTGTATTAACATATTTATTAAGTATTAAATGCAGCAGTATTATATACACTTATGACTCCTCTGGCCTTTGGGACACTTTTTAATCCAACAAGTCAGCCCGTTTTATAACCTAATAATAATATTACGAAAGCACGAATAAACTTTGGTCCTCTTTGTATAAAGTTACCTCAGATTTTCATTATTGTTTTTTCTTTTTTTTTTTTTTTTTACTCAAACGCATAAGTGCCTTTGCTTACTGTTTACATTTTTTGAAGTATATACTTACATATACACGCGCAATGTATCGACATATACGGTCATGTGGATTTTTTTCTTCTGCTTGTTTACTTGCGTCTTTTGCATGTGTCATTGATCAATGTCTCACAACGCCATAATTTTTTACCATCTCCACCAACACTCGCCTCTTATCTCTCCTACTTGCTGTCTTTTGTTTTTATCAACCGTAAATAATGCTTTACTTAATGTTTATTAGACTTTCAATGGGACACATTGATGGAAGTTGTTCATGAACCGATTGAAAAAAATTACATGTTACTAGAAGAAATCGGAAAGTAAGCCTGACATTACATTTTTACTGTTGCATTGCTAAAATACCGATAAAAGTTTTACTCTCATCAACTATGAACTTTTATTTTAGGGGTCAGTTTGCCGTTGTAAGAAAATGCATAGAACAGAAAAGTGGGTCAGAGTATGCTGCCAAAATAATGAGGAAAAAAAGAGTTGCTCGAGGAGTTGCTGCAGCTGACATTGGTACGGTACACATTTTATTAGCATTATAATAATAAATCAAACTTTTTAGTTATTTACAAATAACAATTTTACAGCTCGTGAAGCTGGTCTTTTAGCCCAGCTGAGACATCCCAACATTGTATCACTGCACAAAGTAATTGACACTGGAACGAGTGTAGTATTGTTATTGGAATTGATTAATGGTGGTGAATTATTTCATTGGATGCCATCGTGTGAAGCTGAAGCTGCTCATGTGGTTTGTAGTTAACGTTATGTACACTATATTTTTCAAGTATCATCCAAGTATCAATTTGTATGATTTTTTTATTTACACATAACGTGAAGGTTGGACAAGTACTGAAAGCAATAAGTCATTTACATTCCCATCAAGTTGCACATTTGGATATTAAGCCTGAAAATATTCTTCTTTGTACACCATCTCCAATGCCTAAAATCAAGTTAATTGGTATGCTCAATATTTTGTTGTTATTTTTCTAACAGTGCTAAATAATGATTTACTTATTTTCATTAACAGACCTTGGGTTATCTCATCGACTGACTCCAGGGTTTCAACATAGAGCTTTATTTGGAACCCCTGAATTCGTTGCTCCAGAAATTGTTAATTATGAACCCTTAAGTTTAGAAACAGATTTATGGGCTGTTGGAGTTTTGACATATATTTTGCTAAGTGGTGCATCGCCGTTCTTAGGAGATAATAATCAAGAAACTTATGCAAACGTTGCGGCGTGTCAGTATCAATTTGACGAAAAGTATTTTGTAAATGTTTCCGAGTATGCCAAGGATTTCATAACAACTTTATTGGTCAAGGATCCCAAGTAAGTAAATTTCACGACATTTTCTGTATATAGTGAAAAATTAAATTTTTTATTTTTTAAACCAACAATATTTCATTTGCAGGAAAAGAGGAACTGCGGAATCGTGCCTTATACATCCTTGGATTGTAACGGTGTGCTCTTATCTCAACTCGGGAAATTCATGATCTAAACTTTAGCTAGTGCTTTTCATACGACTTTGTTCTAGTTGGTGTTTTGTTTAATCGCGTGCATTTATTTTTACTTACCTCAATTTTTCGTTTGATTTGTAATGTACATACATGAGCACGCTATGCAAATAGATACCCCAGTTGTGTGTACAGTGAATTCAAATGCCGTGAGAACGCGATTTTTCTCACGCGAGAATTACATTCCTTAACAAAGATAACGATTGTAGCATTTGTAAAATTTCTAGAATAAATCCTAGTGTATAGGACTAATGTAATCATGTAAATAATTAATGATGCCCGGAAATTTTGGTGCAAAAAATAAAGTAATCACACGTTTTTGTATTGAAACGAAAAACAAAACTGTTTTTAATTTAATCGAAATAACAATGTCTGCTAGCTGAACACACTCGATCTTCCCTCGAACTTGCAATTCACGATTTGCTCGTCAACATACATATAAGCTCCTGGACAGTGATGTTACTTCACAATACCATTTCCCTACGGGAAACTCTCAATGAATAGCTGAATCTGGAAAAACTGTTGCCAGTGCCGTTAAAGGAAGTTAAGTCGTATCGCGTTGTCAAGCCAAGTTCTACAGGTTGAATACAACCATGGATCCGATCTTTCCATTTTTAAACATGGAAAGCGCGTTTTTTGTGTACTCATCGAAAAACACTCGAGCTCTCGAATCGCAAAAAACATTCAAAACTGAGCGATAACATATGAAAACAGATAAATTTTAATAAACAGCACGGGGGGTTGTAATTTTCGACTCTTTCCATATTGAAAAAAATCCACGAGAGAAAGAAAAAAAAGAACGAAACTGACTGTTATTACAAACATGTCACAGTGCCGAAAGCAGCTCAGCTCGCGGCAAATTCAAAAGCACGGGGCGCGGCCTCGTGATAGAGATAAAGAGAGGATACGCGTCGTATGTATATGGGTATATACCGATCGATCGCGCGACACGTCGAGAGATAATGATGATGATGATGTTGAAAAGCAATAAACACAAATAAAGGCGAAGGAGCCGAAAATAGGTGCGCGCGAGAGCGGGCGAGCAAACCGGGACGGCAGCCAAAGCCCGCAATCAATTATAGAATGATCGGCCGGTCCCGATCGAGTTGCCGGCTGGTTGGCCCGCTTGGCCGAGCCACTGGGACAGACAAACGGATAGATAGATAGATAGATCGATGGATGGATGGATGGATGCCAGTCGTTTGTTCGGTCGCAACGGAGCTCGGCCGCTCGTAGGGCGCCAGACAGTTGGCTCTTTATTTTGGCAAAGTCTCCCCGAGGCATCCACAAAGACCCCACACGCAGCCCACGACTCCTGGGATCGGCCCCCGACCACCCACGCGCGTGTCCTCTCCAGGACGTGTGACCGAGCACTGCTGCCGCAGAGTTGAAGGGGCAAAGAGTAAGAAAGTAAGGAAGTAAGGAAGAAGAAGAAAAAAAAGTTGGTCCAGGATGGAGGCGATCAAGAAGAAGATCGCGGCCCTCAAGAAGGAGATGGACGAGGCCAACGAGAAGGTCGAGGCGAACGAGGTGAAGGCCAAACAGGAGAACCTGCGCGCCGACAAGATATACGACGAGGTGCACGATCTCGAGAAAAAGCTCATCCAGATGGAGAAGGACTACGTCGTGTGCAAGGAGTCCTTCGAGGCCCAGACCGCCGAGCTCGAGCGCTGCGAGAAGGCCTACACCAAGGTACCCCCAAATGTCTTACCTCTTTTTTATCCTCCCCCAATCCGTGCTTCTTTCAATGTATGTATAATTTAGGCGGAACAAGATCGCACGTCGATGACGAAGCGCGTCCAGGAGATCGAGACGTTGCTCTCGAAGAAGGAGGAGCTGCGGCTGACGGCCCAGATAAAGCTGGGCCGGGCGACCGAGTTGAACGACGACGCGCGCCGCATGTGCAAGGTCCTCGAGGAGCGCAGCCGGCTGGACGTCGAGCGCGTGGAGAAGCTCACCGCCGAGCTGAAGGACGCGCGCCTGCTGGCCGAGGACGCCGACACCAAGTCGGACGAGGTAGTCAGGAAGCTGCAGTTCGTCGAGGAGGAGCTCGAGGCCGCCGAGGAGAGGGTCAAGACGAGCGAGGCGTCAGTATTGCGTCCCGTGTGTTTTTTTTTTTTTTTTTTTTTTTTTTTTCCCCTCTTTCATTCGTCCACACGGGTCGTTTCCTGGTTTCAGAAAAATCATCGAGCGCGAGGACGAGCTCTTCATCGTCCAGAACATCGTGAAATCGCTGGTGGTGTCCGAGGAAAAGGTCAGATCGGCTTTATCGTGCAACGCAACGTTTTGATCGATCAATGTGTTTGTACGTGTTTGTGTGTCCCATCAGGCGAACGCGCGGGTCGCGGATATGAAGGATCAGCTGAAGGCGCTGAAGAAGAGGCTCAAGCAGGCGGAGAAGCGCGCCATCATAGCCGAGAGGACTGTGAAGATGTTGCTGAAGGATGTCGATTTCAAAGAAGGTACGTTATTTACACTTTGTTTGTTCAAACGCGACGTTGTACATTTTGGTTCTTTCAGACGAGCTGAGGGAGGAAAAGGACAAGTACAAGGCGCTGTGCGACGATCTCGACTCGACGTTCGCCGAGCTCACGGGCTTCTAGACTCCTCGGCGAGAAATAGGTACCTATGCCCACCGTCACCGTCATCATTTTCCTTTTTTTTTTTTTTGCATCCGCATCAGCAGCTCTCCTTCGCTTCGATTTTTCCCGACAGGCTGCAGTCCGCTTTTCATCTCATCTGTACCGCGAGAGCTCCATTTCTCACAGCTTACGCAGCGCTTCATTGTTTCGTCACCTATTGGATATTTGGGTTGCCGCTGCTACCGTATAAGCTCTCTCTCTCTCTCTCTTTGACTCGAACGCTTAGAGCTCTCTGCAATTTTTTTTTTTTCGTCGCTCTTAGCTATAACTGTGCGTTCAGTTATCGGGGACTTTTCTGTCCAACGGATTTCATGGTAATGGCAATAATAATGACAATAACAGCTAAAGATTTGGTTTTCTTTTTCAATTAAAACGCGTGGCTTTCACGTATTTATACATCTGTTGCTTATATTTTCTTCTTCCTTTTTTGTTTTTTTGTTTTATTTTTATTTATTACATTTTTTTTTTTTTTTTTTTTTTTTNTTTTTTTTTTTTTTTTTTTTTTTTTTTTTTTTTTTTTTTTTTTTTTTTTTTTTTTTTTTATCATCATTCGGGCATGAATGTTGCACACGTGTATACACACAAGACTGCAGTGACTCTTGCATTGGACACAAGTAACAACAACATCAATTATGTAACGATCGATGTAACATACGTTCAAGTGGACAATATGTACGATCTTGTGTCTTTGCAATAAATCAGAGCTTTTGTTTTTTTTTTAAGCTAAATTTCTATTCGATGTTATTCCACCTTTCCTCCCTTTCCTACGACCAACGAAATCGTCGACAATCGTTTTCGACGATCGCAAAGGAAAATACATCATATTTATAGGTGTAGAGCGCAAAGGTATATAGGTAAACGAAAAGAAACAGGGGCGAGAAGAAGAAGAAGAAGAAGGGGAGGATGAAGAAGAAAAAAAAAAAAAAAAAAAATCAACGTAACTAGTGCCGAGTGATACGACAAGTGTATAGTACACTTGTACACACACACACACACACGAGGACCAAAAAAGAAATGCTTCGGGGCCGGGTAAAAAAAAAAGGCCGAGCAACGCATGATTTTTTGCATTATTTCGCGGGTCTATAAAGGTATTGTCTTGTCAGCGGTAGGGAACAGTAACCCGTCAACCCGTGATGATACTACTCGAGCTCGTTCGATGATTTTACATCACGATCTAATACACGAGAAAAAAAAAAAAAAAAAAAAAAAAAATCGGCACGCGAAGCGTTACCCACGCATATCCTTGAGCGCGTAAAAACCAACACGGAGGATTATTGTCCTAAATAATTACTGTTCTCACATGCAAGCACTGAAAACTTGGATGAAAATAAAAGAGCATCGTCAATAAGCATGTATGAAAAACAAATTATGATGTATGACACGTTATGTGTGTGTGCACGGTTACTTTGCGTGTAAATAATTATATCGTACATCTAAATTCTCGATGTACGACACAGCGTACACCGAGATTTTCGATGTACGACGCAGATGCATCCAAAATCTCGGTGAAACTTAGGGTGCCTGTACATGGAAGACCTGCTGTTTGGCAACTGCCAGTCAAAGCTCTCTCGTCTCATGAGAGTGAGAGAGATGTTCATCACGTGACCACATTTAACTTGGAATGTTTGTGTCACATTAATTAACGAGGACGCTATTTTAAGAATCGACTTTCATTTAGACAATAATCCTCCTTAAGGAGCAAGTATAGGTGAAAAAGAGAAATGAACGCGATGAAGAAGAAACTACAGACGCTGAAGATCGAGAAGGACCTGCAGTCGATCGATCGAGCCGAGGCTTGCGAGCAGCAAGCCAAGGAAGCCCACCGGCTCGAGGAAGAGCTGAGGGACCAGATGGACGGGCTGCGGAAGAAACTGCTGCAGATGAAGGCCGACCTCGACGCCTGCAAGCTCCAGCTCGGCAAGTCCAACGCGAGCCTCGTCGTTCAGGTGCAATCGGAGCTCGCGATTCTCAACAGGAAGATACAGCAGTGCATCGACACTTGGGAAATGGCCGAGGAACGGCGCGCCACAACCCAAGCGAAGCTATAGCTCAGGCCCTCCACACGGTCGAGGACGCGAAAAGGTGCGCCATCGTCCCTGTCTCTGATACAAAAAAAAAAAAAAAAAAATTAACAATAATGATGCAGGATCAGCCGAGTTCTGGAGAACTGTAGCAAACTCGACGAGGAGAGGATGGACTTTCTGACCGGTCAGCTGAAGGACGCGCGTCTACTGGCCGAGGACGCCGATTTCAAGTCGGAGCAGATCTCGAGGCTGCTGGCCCTCGTCGAGGACGAGCTCGAGACCGTTGAGGGGAGGGTCAAGACCACCGATGCGTAATTCTTCTTTTTTTTATTCTCTTTGATCACACAAGTACAAGTTTGTGATACGATTGCGAGCGTGCTTTTTAGAAAAATCGCCGAAAAGGGGGACCTCTTCATCGTTGGCAACATACTCAAGTCTCTGGAGGTCTCCAAGGAGAAGGTACGCATAATAATGGTGTTACTGTTGCAGTCGATGATGTATTTTTTTTTTTTTTTTTTTTCTTTCTTTTAACACGTGGACAGGCCAATCAGCGGGTCGAGGAGTTCAAAAGCCAGCTGAAGAGTCTGAAAGTCAGGCTCAACGAGGCGGAGAAGAGTGCAGTTTCCACGGAGAAATCGGTCAAGTGGTACTTGAAGGTGCTCGACATGAGGGGAGGTGAGAGCGATCGAGTCTGGATATTACACATATATTTTTCCAAACACCCGCCAGCTACTTTTTTTTTTTTTTTTTTTTTTTTTCATACGTTTTCAGAGAGAAGGAGAGCAAGGGGAGCAAGGAGAAAGAAAAGTACAAGTACATGTGCGGCGACTTGGACTCGACGTTCGCAGAACTGACCGGCTACTAAAATATACGCTGCTCCGTTTTCTTCCTTGTGCACCTCCGCCCTTTTTCCCTCGCATTCTTTCTACGCTCGAGCTTTTCTTTCATCTGCTGCTCTGGGCTATATTGGGTAATACCACCGCTACTCTGCGACGTGCTATTTTTAATTGTGTATTCTCGGACACGCGTCGGACGAGCCCTCGTTGGGTTCCTTGTTTGTACTTTTCTGATTAAATGAATAAATCTTTGGTTACTACGCTATGCAACTTTTCTCTGGTTATTTATTTGCATTGCTATGACTTTTTTATTTTTTTCTTTCTCCAGGAAGCCTCTTGCTAAGAGTATGATATAATGGAGGATGGGTTAAATGAGAGTCAACGAACGAATCGTGCCTTTAACGATGTCGATTTATTTAATCGATCGCGCGTCGATCGACCATACAATACTTGGGAACGCCAGAGTCGTTTTAATACATTCACTTGAAGAGTACGCTGCATTTATATTTCCTTAATTTGTCTTTTTTCTAACATTTTTTTTTTTTTTGTTTTTTGTTTTTTTTGTTTTTTTTAATGCCTAAAATCAAG